AACAATAAGAAATTTTTTCAGGAAAAGAGAAAAGGGAACTTAGAATTAGAATCAGATCTTGATAGTTTTAAACACGTCCTGTAAAAAAGAATTAGTAGGTCTCGAAGTGCTGGACAATTTAAAAGTATATTTGATATAAGAAAATTTGAGAGAAAAAATAATATTTCTTATTAATTAAATTATAATATTTTTTAACATTATAACTTAATTAATTAAAAAATTCTTTTCTCCACTTTTTTCTCTCACCTATTTCCTTCAAGCCAAATATTAATGATTCATTTAAAGATATATGGATCCCAGAGTTAGCCTTTTCACACTCAAGAATGAACACCAATAAAGGATCCTTCTGCACCAGCAGCTCTAGAATGGATGGATTATTAGCCCAACTTTTAATGTAATTATTATTTATTATACATTTAGATTACCTTTTATTTAATAAATTAAAAATATAATTATTAATTAAAATAAAAAAAATGCAACTTTAATAATTAAAAATGTGAAAATAACATCTCTCCTATAGATCTAACAATTGAATTAATATCACTTCGACATTCTGCTCCAGCACACAAAATACTAAGGCGCTATGAAAGAAACAGACTAGTCAAAACGGTCATATTAGAAAAATGAAAATCAAGTACCTCTGCTGGGAATGGAAGTTACCTGCCCTAATTTTTTACCTTGCTAAAGATTTCCTGACATGCATGCTTCCAGGTGTAGAATGCAGTGTTTGCGAAAAAAGGAAGTGTTTAGGTTCTGCCAATTTACATGCCAAAGAGATAAGAATGGAGAAATCTGAAACTGCAAATTTTGCAGGAATTTTGATCTGAATTATAGAATGCATGGTGCCCAGCCCACTAGCTAGGCAGAGGCTAAAACACCACGATTCCCCTAATCCATGATCAAGAGCAACACAAAATGGTGGAGGATCGTATATGGACCAACCGGGTGGACTGGAGGTTCGATTGCCCAACCCATTTGCAGCCAAGTATCATAGAAGCAGCCCTTTGAGGAGCTGTGCAATTAGGGAATCAAGGCAACAGGTAGATGGAATTACCTGCATTGATAGGTCTTCCAGCC